TCTTCGTCCTCGTCCTTGTGCTTCTCTTCCTCCTTGTTGTCCTCATGGTCCTCCTCGCTATCCTCACGTTCGCCGTCCTCGTCATCGACTCCTCGTTGTCCTCGCCTTCCTTTTCTTCTTCGCCCAATACGCCCATTAGACTACAGCGGTGCTTCCCGTTCTTGTCCAATCAGGCTTCCTTAAGAAAAACGGTCCACGCTCCTCGTTCCTCGTTCGCGCTTCCCGTCATCCACCGACCCTGTCGGCATGTGTGAGGGGCTCTTCCGTTCGAGTCGGGCTTTCCCGTTCGACTCGTCGTCGCCGTCTTCCTTCTGAGTTCCACTCACCTGGGCCCTCTTCCTCAGACAAGCCGTCCACAGCGAAATTTGACAACGTCGTAGTTCAGTCGAAGGGAAGCCCCTTCCCTTTGATCCCTTCCCCGCGCGGGGGGGGGAGGTCCCGGGGGGGTCCTGGGGGGGTCCTGGGGAAGTCCCGCGGGTTCCCGGAGGGGTCCCGGGGGGGGTCGCCACCCAGATTCGTTTGTCTCCTGGGGGGTACCAAGGCCAAGAAAAGCCCCAAGACGGGCCAAGAGCGCCCCAAGACATCCCAAAGACGGTACAAGAGCGCCACGCATCGACGAACGATCGCCCCAAGACGTTCAAGGCTGCTCGAAAACGGCCCAAGAGGCCCCCAAGAAGTTCCAAGAGAGCGCCAAAAGCACTCCCAAGAGAGACGCAGGAGCCAAAATCGTGAATTTTACATTGGTTTTTGAACATGGTTTCAGCCTTCTCGCCTTTTCGGCTTTCCGGCTTTCCGACGGTCCAAGACGGCCCAAGAGGCCCCCAAGAACGCCCCAAGACTGCCCAAGATGCCTCCAAGAGGGCTCCGAGACGCCCCGAGAGGGACGCAGGACGGACCAAGATGCGCCGAAGACGGCCCAAGAGGGCCCCAAGAGAGTGCCCAGAGGGGGACGAGGAACCGAGAATTCTAGACTTCCGCCCCATGAGGCCCCCAGGAAGCCCCAAGAGGCCTCCGAGAGGCTCCAAGAGCGCTCAAGCGGCCCCAAGAGGCCCCAAGAAGCTTCCGAGAAGCCCCCAGGAAGCCCCGAGAGGCCCCCAAACTGTTCCGCAGAGGTTCCCGAGAGCGCTCCGAAGAGACCCACGTCAGCGTCGTCGTCCTCGCCGCATCCTCCTGCCACTCCTCCTGCCCCTCGTCCGGAGCCTCCTCCAACTGCTCATTCCTCCTCCTGCTCGTCCCCCGCGTCCTCCTGCTGCTGCCCCACCTCGCCCACCGCCTCCTCTTCCTCCTTCGGTTCATCCTTCTGCTCATCCTGCTTGTCCTCCTGCTCCTCCTCCTCCCTCGTCTTCGTCGTCGTCGATCAGGGTCGGCACCGGCCGTCAGGCCTCTCCAATAAAAGGTTGTACGGACAAGGCGTTGCAAAAGTCAGTGTTCCGATCAGAGAGGGAGGGAAGGAGGAGGAACACCAACACGGCGGCGCATGACCCGAGACCCCCGAGATCACGACTGGGACCTGGGGGCCGTGCAGCGGGCCGCCCCCGAATCCTTACTATGACTGCATCCCCCAGGGCCCTCCAGGAGGCGCCCCCCTGCTGGGGCCTCCTGGGCGCGTCTTGGGGCCCTCTTGAAGTGCTCTCGGGAGCCTTGGGAGCGCTCTTGGAGCCCTCGTGGGCCATCTTGGAGTCATCTTGAAGCCTCGGATGGCCATCGGAAGCGAAAAGGCGAGAAAGCCCAACACATTGATTTTCCTGAGGTTTTGGAAGGATTTTGGCCTCTTCTCGGCCTCCTGGGGGAGCTCTTTGGCCACTTGGAGCCGTCTTGAAGCGGTCTTGGGGCCTCTTGGAGCATCGTGGGAGCCATCTTGAGGCCTGCGACCTCTGCCAGCATCTCCACCCCTTCCGAGGCCCCCCCGAGAGACCCAGACGTCGGGCGTCGTGGACTTCTCGTGGCGTGGGCCCCCCGGGGCGGACCACTGGAGCCCCAAAAGGACTCCCGGGAAGGCCTAGACATGCAAGGAAAGGCCAGGCGATTGGGTGAGGACCCCCATGAAGGACCCCCAAGAAGGCCCAGGAAGGCCCCCCAGGAAGGTCAGGCGGGTCAGAGGAAGGAGAGGTACACACCGCTACCCTTTGCTCGTTTTCCCCTTTTGGGGCCTCCTAAGAGGCCCTCGTCGCTGGATTCGCCTTGAAATCCCAGTCAGAACGCGCCCTGGGAGAGGACCCCCAGGAAGGCTCATTGCTTTTCGTAAGGCTGTTTGCTAGTTTTCGGTATGTCGTGCTCAAGCCTTAGCGCCAGCAGGGCTCCCAGACACGAAGCCAGCTCACCTCCAGGACCCAGTTTGCCATTCCGAGTCGTGTCTTGATAGCCCTGCGGCCCCGTGCGTGCATCAACAAGTCAAACGCCTGTAAGCCGACAGCGCGAGTGCGGCGCGATAAATGATGCATGGACTCTTCCTCTGGCGAATGGAGGAGGCGGAGGAGCAGGAGAAGGAGGAGAAGGAGGAGGAGAAGGAGGAGTAGGCGGAGAAGGACGAAAGATGGGTAGATGATGATGGTGATGTTGATGGTGATAATGATGGTGATGATGAAGGTGATGATGATGCTGATGATGATGCTGTTGCTGATGGCGACGATGAGGAGGGCGAGGGGCCTTGTGAGGATGCTGATGCTGATGATGGTGATGTTGTTCATGATGCTGATTTAGAGAAGGAGGAAGAGGAGGGGCAGTATGATTAGTATGCGGATGGCAAATACGATGAGTAGGAGGAGCAGGCTGGAGCGCGCGCGAATGAGGAGAGAGGAAGAAGATAGAGAGGGAGAGGGATAGGGACTTTGTTGCTGCGGTTGTTGTTGATGATGGTGATGATGATGCTGATGATGCTGATGAAGCTGCTGACGAGGATGAGTATGCCGCTGACGATGCTGTCGCTGTCGATGATCATGTTGCTGTTGGTGTTGCAGCTGACGTTGGTGGTGGTGATGGTGATGGTGATGATGATGGTGATGATTATGCTGATGATGGTGACGATGATGATGATGACGCTGATGATGATGCCTGCTGCTGGTGATGCTGATGATGATGATGATGATGAGGATGAGGTCTGATATGCCCCCCGACGATGGCCAGACATCTTAACACCGGAGCTGTGAGAACGGCAAGCTCGAGCTTCGTGCAAGATGAGCGGCGCTCCGACCGCGCCACAACGACCCTGATAACGACATTATCCCAGAGCGACCCTACCTAGGAATTGGAGCCCCTAGGAGAGCAATATTAGTAGTAACGGTAAACGCCGTCCTCCTCCTTCTCCTCATCGTCGCAGTTGTAGCAGTAGCGGTAGTAGTAGTGTTATGCTATGCTATGCTATCCTGCGCTATGCTATGCTATGCTATGCTATGCTATGCTGGGCCATGCTATGCTATGCTAAGCTATGCTATGACATTATATGCTGCGCTATGCTATGCTATGCTATGCTATGTTGCGCTGTGATATGATATGATATGATCTGTCATGCTATGCTGTGATGTGCTGTGCTATGCAATGCTATGCTGCGCTGTGCTATGCTAAGCAATGCTATGGTATGCTATGCGATGCAATGCTATGATATGCTATGCGATGCTATACAGGGCTATGCTATGCTGTGCTATCTATGCTATGCTATGCTTGGCGATGTTATGCTATGCTATGCTGTGCTCATGCTGCGCTGCGCTATGCTGCGCTGCGCTAGGCTAAGCTAAGCTAAACTAAGCTGAAGTATGTTAAGCTAAGCTAAGCTAAGCTAAGCTAGGCTAGGCGAAGCTAAGCTAAGCTAAACTAAGCTAAGCCATGCTAAACTAAGCTAAGCCAAGCTAAGCTCAGCTAAGCTAAGCTAAGATGAGCTAGGCTACGCTTAGCTAAGCTAGGCTAGGCAAAGCTAAGCTAAGCTAAGCTAAGATGAGATAAGCTAAGCTAAGCTAAGCTAAGCTAAGCCAAGCTAAGCTTAGCTAGGCGAAGCTAAGCTAAGCTGGGTGAGCCCAGGGGGCGGGGACTGGGGGAACCGCGGGGCGGGGACTGGGGGAACCGCCCGGGGCGCTTTCCACTGCCCGGCCCCGTTAAGCTAGAGAGCAAGAGCCCTTCTAGGCAGAGCCTAGGTAGGGAACGTTGAATTAAATCATATGGTGGCACGAGGGCGGGCGTGCTTGAAAAAATGTGGAGCACCAGCGGCCATGTAACGGATCAGACCAGCACGACACAAACATCTGGGTAAGTCTGAGATCCCGTCCGGCGATGGCCAGACATCTTAACAGCGGAGCTGTGCGAACGATTCTGTCGTGTGCAAGCTCGAGCTTCGTGCTATATGCGCGGCGCCTCGACCGCGCCACAACGACCCTACACTGCCCTACCTGGCACCTGGCCGCTTCATGCCAAAAACAATTTGCCGTGAACGCTTCCGGAGACCCTGGAGGTTCCCATAGAGACCCACGAGCAGAGCCACTTAGCCAAGGGTAAAGACACACGCGTGTACGGAATTATGCTCGGCGGGGCGAACGCCGCGCGCCCGCAAGGGCCGCCGTCGTCCGCGGGAAAGCCGCACGAAAAAACGAGGGCCCACAGGTTGTCGTGGTTCGCTCGACATCCGAACCTACAGGGCGACACGATACGGTGTCTCCCATCACAAGTGTTCACGAGATGCTGAAGCGCGGAGGATCGCGCGTCAGCGCTGTTGGATGGGAAAATGGTTAAACGCGGGCAACAGAGACTCAGACACTTGTGACTCAGGCGGGCTAGCGCGTCACTGGAGGCGCCCCCACCAAATCTCGGCCACGCCGAGACAACCCCGCGGACGCAACGAAAGGGCGCCCAGCCCGCAAGACGGCGGTAAACACGGGCGTCAGCCACCAAAGACCCATTGATCCACGCGCCGTGCCCGAAGCTCGAGAAGTCGTCGGCTCGGGCAACTCCCCCTCGCCCGAAGCCGACCCCGGGCAGCGTCTGCACAGGCGCCGCGCGACAGGCGCGGGCGAGGCCGCGCAGGCAGCTTCGACAGCAGCGGCTTCCCCTGCAGGAAGCTTGGCAGCGGCGGCCGCCTCTGCTCCCCAAGGATCGACGCGATGTCAGCCTCCACCAACTTGGGCCAGACCACCGCGCGCTCGTCGACCTTCTCGAGCACCGCAAGGTATCGGGCGTGGCGTGAGCACCGCGTGGTGCTCTGCGCGCTGGTGCGGCGCAAGTGCGTCTGCAGCTCCTGGAGGCCCATGCCCTCGACGGCGGCCGCGTGTGACGCCGCGGAGTGCCGCGGCTGGTGCGGACTCATGTCGGGCGCGCCCGGCACCATCGCCAGCCGCCGACGGAACTCCGTCACGAACTGGGCCGCGCTGAATGACCACAGGCGCGCGCCAGCGCGTCGCGCAGCGCGGAGTTGCCGCAGGAAGCTGCCGCCGCCGCCACGCCAAGCCGCGCCCTGCAGCATCGCGCCCTCGCCCTGCGCGGGCGTCTTGCCGCGCGTCGAACCCTCGATGAGGTGCAGCAACAGCGCCCAGAGCGGCGCAGCGCCGCGGCCCGGTACCACCGGCGTCTCGGTCGCCGTGCTGACGAGGTCGCTCAGCAGGCGGATCATGCCGTCCCAGGCTAACGCCAGAGCCCCTGCCCACTCGAAGTCGTCCTCCAGCGCGGCGGCCCCGATCGTGCCCGACACGATCGGCTTGCCGACGGGCATCATCGGGGTGCTCCTGGAGTGCACCCGAAAGCCTGATAGCGCGGCCCGCGCCAAGGGCAGGCCTCCGTGCTGTGGCCTCGGCACGCGCGGCAGCCTGTGCTGCGCGCGCGCCAGCAGCCGCGACCCAGTCTCCGCCAGCTCGCCGCCCCAGAATAGCTTGTCCAAGTAGCCCGCCAGGAGGGCGTCCAGGCAGTCCGCCGTGATAACCTCCAGCGACAGCGCCTCGGCCCACTCGAGGAAACTGGCCACGTGCTTGTCTAAGCTGCTGATCTTGGCGCCGCGCATCTGGCGCCTCTGCAAGAAGGTCAGCCCAGACCGAGGGTCGCAGGTGATGCCGCCGAACTTCGCGGCCCTCAGCTTCGCCCGATTGGCCTTCTGGCGCGCCAGCTCCACGCGGCCTGCTGCCTTCGCTCGGGCTGGAGGAGGAACTCCAACGCTCGCAGTCGGCAGGGGTCGGGTGGTCCTGACTGTCTTCAGAGCCGCCCGAGCTCACCGAGGTCGACATATCGGCTGCGGCCTGGACGTCGGGCTCGCAGAGGTCGCGCCGCCGCCGCCGCAGGAGGTTGACGGGGTGGTCGTAGTCGTCGCGCCTCGCTTTCTCGACAGCGGCTGCCCGCGCGAGGCTGGCCCAAGCCGTGCCAACATTGCGAGGATCGGCTGCGAATGGAGCTGGCGTTCCTGTCGCGGTACGGGAGCCTTTGCCGGATGTGCCATCGCACCGCTACGGCAAAGTCATTCACGATATTGTAGCTGCAAGTCTCTCGGCACGTCTGATTGATCAGTGGCGACGACGATCGACCCTTGTCGACTCCGAGCACCAGGGACATATTGTCCTTTCAACATGAAGTGCAAGTGCCCTCTCGAGCGCAGAGCTCGCATCTTGCGGCGGATACCCAACGACGGCGCGCGCCCTTCCAGCCTCAGGATGTTCTCCTCGCGGCTCCAGCGGCCGAAGGTCACGTTCCCCCTGGGCTCCATCGGGAAGACGAGCTCGGAGCTGACGGTGGCAAACGACGCCTGCTCCTCTGCGGGGACGCCGCGGCTGGCGAAGGCGAGGTCCGGATCGTTGATAGCCCCCGCGACCTGATACCTCATGCGCTCCGGCACTCGAGCGGTCTCGATCACGGTGGTGGTCTCGACCTCGCGCTTGGTGACCCCGTGGCCGCCGAACAATCTGCCCTTCGGGTCGAGGTCGCCCGTGCTGGCGTCGGTGGGGTAGACCATCGTGTCGACGGGCCTTTTGGCGTCGTAGTAGGCAAAGGGTACCGGCGCCACCGCCACTCGAAGTTCTCGAACAACATTTGGCCACAGTCTCCAGCGGCTGTCACCCGCCTTCTGGATGAAACGATACGCGCTCTGGAAGATGCACAAGAGGGGCCGACGCGATAGAGCAGCCCAGTTGAAGTGGCCGACGAGGCTGGAGAGGTCGGGGCCCGACGCGTACGGCTGCAACGCCTGGCAGAGCAACGCCTGGCGGATCTTCCACATCCGCGAGCGCCCCGAGGATGCGCGCCCCAGGTCGCGGTCAAAGACCAAGCCCGTGAGCTTCTGCTCCTGGCTCGGCAGCTCCATCTCCTTGCACTTCAGACCGCTGTCGTTGAAGGCCCCGTAGATGCCGCGCAGCTGATCGACGACCTCGTCATGCTGGGTGCCGATCGCCGCAACCCCGTCGACGTAAGCAGCTGCCGCAGGACAGTTCGCCAGGTCGGGGATCACCTTCCTGTCGTGCACGAGCTTGGCGGCGCCGAAGCCAACGGACCTCGACGTGCCCTCGGCGGCGTGCTGACAGAAGAACAGACTCTAGTTCCATCCCGTCGGCAAGACTTCCAGACGCGGTAAACATTTGCGAGACACAAGATCATCAAGGGCACCACCAGGAAGAACACTCGCAAGGGTGACTCTATCGATACTTGACAGAACCATTAACGCACTGGGCCCAGCAGGCGCGAGGAACCGATTGAACGCGGCCTCGATGTCACATCGTTCGAGGTACAGGCTGCTCTCGGCATCGAGTCGGAGACTCTGCCAGCGCCCTGCCGTCGGCAACTCGGCGACGTCGGGGTCGTAGAACATACGGTTCACCCTGCGCGTGTCCAGGGCCATCCGCCGCTTGCCGCTCCCGTCGCGCTTGGCCGCGGAGAACGGCGCGAGCGCGCGCTTCCGCTCCGAGGTCAAGTAGATCATGCCAGCCTCGAACAAGTCATGCAAATAACCGGCGCACAGGCTCGTGGAAACCTTCAGCTTGGCGTCGAAGTGGGGAGGTACATTGGCAAGCCACCCATGACGAGGGCGCAAGACATGCTTATCCCAGTCCTGCCAGAAGTCGCGCACTGACTCCGAAAACAAGTCGGCGGGGTCGCACTTTCTCGAACCCGACGGCGCAGCAACGCCCCCTTCGGTGAACAGAACTGATTTCGCTAGGCTCATGTCATACCCAGGAAAACACCCACGCGGCTCCCTGTTGGCCGCCGTGGGGCTGATGTCAGGCGCGCCGAACGCCGCGATGTGATCGCGCAGCGAGCCGACACCAGCGAGCTGCGCCGCCGACAGCTTCCCAAAGCCATCGCCACCCACGCGCCCATTCAAGAAGTTGAGGGCATCAACGACCTCACAGGTCCACAAGTCGACGGCGAGCTCCTGGCGGCCCCGACTCCGCCTCTTACGGGAATTCGAAAGCATGCAGTATGATCGCGCTTCTCGAAGTGCGCGGCGACGAGGTCCAGGGGGATCGGCAACTCGCCCCGCTGGACCACCGTGAATGAGAAGACGAGTGGGAGCTAACCCCCGTCACCGCCGGCAGCGCCACCGCGGCCGCGACCCTTCGCGTCGCCCTTCGGGGCGGTAGCCAGCTGCTTCGTCAACGTGTCAATCTCCGACTTCTGACGATCCACCGCGCTCTGCATGCCAACGCGGCGGCTCTGGTGATCACCTCCTCCACTGCTGGCGTTTGGTTGAGCGAACGTCAGCAGGAGATGCATAGACCGACAGCACAGCTCGTGGACCGAGACGTCCTGGTCGCTGCTCGACAGCCCAGTCTCCGCCTGGAGCTTCGCTCGCCGAGATCCGAACGTGACGTCGCCCTCTCAGACGAACTCGCAGACCCACTTCGCCGCCCGAGGGCCGCTGACGGGGGAGAACTCCCAAGGGCTCTCGGTGAGCTCGGCGACGGCCTCCCTCATGCCCAAGAACCGCTCTTGTGGGGAGATCCGCAGCGCAAACACCCGCACGCCGAGCTCGTCGCCGCCGTCGCGCGGCGGAGCTCGAAGGAGGAGGCTGCGCCCAGCAAGCCGACCGATCTCGAACCCTGCAGTGATCACGAAGGTCTCGAGCTCCAGGTCACCGAGAGGGCCCTCGTCGTCTCCGTCGCTCGAGGCTAGGCAGCCCTTCTCCGAAAGACTCGCATCTGGTAGCCTGCCTCGGCCCACAGCCCACCCACTCGAAATATTCAGCAAATCCGAACCCGAGCCGATACGCGGGGGACCTGGGCCAAGGGCTGGCACTCCTTCCTCGGGCTCTGCTGCTGGCGGCGGGACGATCAGATCACGGGCGACCACTTCGTCGAGCGAGCGTCCCATGGCGGACCGCATCTGGAGGCATAGCTCGGTGGGTGTCATGTTCCAGTCCTGCCCGTAGACGCCGAGCCCCGCTAGATTCGCTCCGTCGCGGTTCGGTAGCTGCCGACGATTGGTCATGTCGCCCAGCACGATGCGAAGAGCCTGGTCCGTCAACTCATGAGGGTACACGTCGCCGTCTGGTGTCACCATGTGCCAGAGGCGGTCGTCCGACTCGGCGTTCTCGCTCGGATCCTGACCCGTCGCTGCCGTGTACTCCTCGGCTGTGCACGGGGTCGGTGCCTCTCGCGCCTGCCGGCTCTCGCCGTGGCGCCACTGGATCTCGAACAGCTGTCCAGACCTGGCGCGGAAAAAGGCATACCCTCCCGCCAGAAAGCCCAGACTCACGCTCACCGCCACGATCACCGCAGCGCCTCACCGCAACGAGCCCAGCAGCTGCAAGGCCGCAGCGCACTCTGTAACGTTCCCGAACGTGCCCTCCAGCGTCGACCAGCCTCGCTCAGAGAGGACCCACTGGCTGAGCCCTGGCAGCGGAGGTGACAACCGCCCACGGCATGAAGCAGCCGCCTTGTCTGTTTGTGCTTGAACTATTGCGGAGCAACAGCGGCCATGGAACGGATCAGACCAGCACGACACAAACATCTGGGTATCATGCTGATCATGATGATGATGATGATGCTGTGGCTGTGGATGATCATGAGGAGGACGTTGAGGATTGTGGTGATGATGTTGCTGATTAAGATGTTGATGGTGGTGATGGTCATACTGATCGAGAAGAACAGCATGGACCCGAGGGAGGAGGCCAAGAGGGATGAGGACGACGACGACGACGCCTCAGCATCGAGCCCCGAATGCCTCTGCCAGCCCCCCCCTACCTCTGCCAGCCCCTCCTCCCCTCCCCCTGGGCCCGCCTGCGGCTGTCCACCGCCGTCCACAGGCACCTGGCCACGGGTGGTGCCCTCCCCCCCCCAGGCGGCCTCGAGGAGACGCCGCGGGGGGAAGTGGAATGAGGAACAAGAGGAACAACAGCAGGACGAGCGCACGGCTGATGATGAGTCATATCGTCCACCACGGCCCCACCCTGGCAGAAGGGAGGGCTTTGTGCCTCTCTCTCTTCCCTTGCCTCCTCGTGCGCTTCTCGCACGAGCTGGGCAAGATGAGTGGCGGGCACCTGGAGATCTACTGGGGAGCTCTTGGGTGTCTTTGTGGTGCCTGCCTGCTTGGGCACGGGCTAACTGGGGAGCGGCGCCATAGACGTGACGTCGGTAGCGACCTTCCGTGAAAGAGCCGCACTTATTGCAATTTGAGAAACTGGTCGAATGGTCGAAGCGCTCGTAATGACATAGAACATGGACTTCAAGATCTGAGACCAAATCCGAGAGGTGCTTGCGATGTCCACGGCAGTGTTGTGCTACCAGCGCGTCTAGCTGCCTGCGCGCACGGGCCTTGTCACGGCAGGTGGAACAGCGCCAGGAGGGGCTCCACAGGAAGCTGAGGGGGAGGAGTCGGCGGAGAGCTAGGACCAGGCAGCGAAGCATCGGAGCTCCACGAGGTCTTGGCCGAGGCAGACCAGACGGAAGCGAGAAACTCTTCTCGGCCTTGGTCGTGGTCTAGCTTCTGAGCTGGGCGGTTGCCAGACACTCTCCGGAGGCCTCCACCACATGCCGAAGACAATCCTTGAAACGTGTGGTCTCGCTGTCGAAATGCTCTTGCTCGGCTGTACTAGGCTGCGCACCACGGTGCGCTGCTGCTTGGGCCAAGCGATCGGCGGCATCATTGCGTTCCGCCAGTGTTCTGGTTTCGCCACCTTCGGGCAGGGCTTCTGTGTTCTGGTGGGCTTTCACCTTCAGGAGCCTCTGCCCCAGAGGAAAGAGCCCACGACCTGCCAACAACTTTTCAAACCCCGCCAAGAGATTGCGTCTGGGGCGCCCTTCTCCGCCTTGCAGCTGGATTACCCGCCTTGCATCGGTCGCACAGGGGAGACTACAAACTGCAACTGCTGTAAAGTGCTCGGCGGCACCTGACGTTTCAAGGCACGTATGGCCGACCTGGCCACCCCACACATACATTACCAGCACGCATGCACGCCCCTGCGAAAACAACATCCTTTAGCATATAATGACCGTGGTTGGCGCAACTACCGTTCCTTTAAAATGCTTCTTCAGTACTAACACTAAACTTGTCGCACCAAAACTTCCCATTCTCTAACCCTGTGACAGGGATAGGGTCCCTTTCGAAATCAAACACAAACAAGACCCCAGTGTGGATGGGGAGAGGCATTGGGACGGGGATCTCGCAATTTCTAAAGCTCCGATTCCGAAACGTGAATGGTCCTTTGCGAAACTGTCCGCGACTAGCACTACGTGTGATAGCGTCGGTGTGGTGCCTACACCTTATTAGAGGCCTCCTGAATAGGGTCGAAGTAGATGGGGTCGGAGGATCGCCCTGCATCGCCGATGCAGCGGGGATGCACTGGCGACGCATCGTCGACGTCGGCGATGCGTCGGCGACGTCGACGTGAAGCAAATCGGGCTCCACATCGAGCCGCATCGGCGATGCTTCGGCGATGCGGCGCGATCCTCCCACCCCATATACTCGGACCCCATCGAGGAGGCCTAGACTTATCCAGCTCAAGGGGCTCATTCCATGGTCCAGATGCTCTGAACCAGGATCGCACCGCGAGGAACGGTTTTCGCTGCTGCTCGGTCAACTCTGGCCGGGCGGAGACACTACGGGCTGCGGCAACGTCCAGGACTGCCCCGGGCCGGCCGCCCTCTCGGCCAGCTGGGAGTGCCAGTCGGACCTCATGAGCTTTTGGAGGTAGGCTGGGGGTCTCCTGGGGGCGGCATTGGGGCCCCAGGGGGCCGCGAGTACACAGGTGCTCCACCCAACCCGTTTGAGTGAGCGACAGGGCCGCCTCGTTATAAGGGTTCCCTGGAGGAGCACCGCCGCGTGGAAGCTCTCGGAAGGATTCCTCGGATGCCCCCCCCCACAAGACGCGCAGTTGCTGGGTGCTGGCCACGGCCAGGCGAGGGCGGGTGGTGGCTTCCCCGACCAGACGGTGCCAAACAATAGCTGGCCCCAGGGCCGCTTGCCAAGGAGGGTCCTGGAGGACCAGCACAGACAGGCTGCGGCTCCTTGACGGCCGTCCGGGGCCAGCAGGCGCGAGGTGCTACTGCCTAGCCTGCTCCAGTGTAGCGCCGTTGATGGCACAGGCGTCCACTCCAAAGGTCGTGGCCGCAGGAAGCCCCCCTGCGCGCGGGGCGCGCCGGGGGTGGCGCTGGAGGCGCCGTCAAGGGGGCCCAGAGCAGGTCCATCACATTCGCGCGGGCCTCCGCGAGTTTGAGTGCTTCTGCAGTTTGTTTGCTCTTCGCCTCTCGAGGAGGCGGGGGGGCGGCCCTCGGGCTGCGGCGGGGCCGCGCCTGCATCATCTGGACGGCGAACTGCTGGGGGGCCGGCTGGTGCATGCTCGAGAGGGCGGGCTGGATGGACTGCTCCTGTGGGGGGGGGGGGGGTCCTCGTCGCGGCCAGGGGTCTCGCAGGCTGGGCCCTCGGAGCCCGTAGCCCCCCCCCCTCCGCCCTCCTCGCTCCCTCCTGCTGCGCCTCCTCCCTGATGCTCCCTCCTCCTCCGACCGTTTCCTCCAACTTCTCCTCTTCCTCCTCCTCCTCCTCCTCCTCCTCGCCCACACCTTCCCCTCCTCCTCCTCCTCCTCCTCCTCCTCCTCCTCCTCCTCCTCCCACTCCCCCAGCCCCCATGTCCTCCTCATGCTCCTCCTGATCCTCCTCCTCTTCCTTCTCCGCCTCTCCGTCTTGGGTTGTCTTTTCGCGCTACGCGCGGCGACGAGAAGGCCTCCCGAAGGCCCAGAAGGCGAGGAGGAGGAGGAGGAGGAGGAGGAGGAGGAGGAGGAGGAGGAGGAGGAGGAGGAGGAGGAGGACGTCGTCGTCGTCGTCTTCGTCGTCAATCTCCAGCGTCTTCGCCCTGGGGCCGCGGTCCCGCGGAAGCTGGCCGCCGCGAAGCGAAGAACAGCTCTGCCAGAAACGAGCCCGTGGGAACTGGCGGGCGCAGATTGGGCGTCGCTTAAATGGGGGGGGCGATCTAGGGGGGGGGTTCGATGGGGGAGGGGGGACGAACGGGGGGAGCGAACAATGGGCGGGGGGGGGCGATGGGGGAGGGGGGGGACGAAAGGTGCACATTTCGGGCCCTGGAGGCGCCGCCCTGGGCCCTCGAGGGCCCCTTCAGGGGCCCCCAGCTGCCCCTTTTCTGCAGCCCTCGCTGCCCCCCCTCCTAATGTCGCCCCCCCATTGCGCGACGCCCAAGCAAAAGGAGGGGCGGGCTTCACCAGCCGAACGCCCGCGGAGACTAAGACAGGGTGGCTCCGCCACGGAAAAGCCGGTGGAAGGACTGCGCCTTAAGATCCTGGCGTCTCCGGTTTTTCGAGCCAGGCGTCTTCGCCCGGTTTCGGGCCCGAGGACCCTCATAGATCGATCCGGCTCGAATGATGGCGCAGAAAGATGGGGTTTGGGGATCTGGTCGTGATCTTCCACGGTGCTGCGATTTTCTCGCTACGTCGCACCTCAGGGCGGAAGCCGGCGGGCGTACCCGAAACGAGGGTCGTGGTTTCGCTGGCGCCCCTCAAGGGAGGTCAGCGCCAGCGTCCCTGGAGCCTCCGGAGTGGGCAGCGTGGGAGGGGAAGATGAGGGGGAAGGAGGAGATGAGGAGAAGGAGCGAAACGTATGAGGCTTCGGGGACAGAGAAGAGTGTGTGGGGGGTGGGGGGATGAGGGGGACGAGGAGGCAGAACCAGCGTAACCCCAAGAGTCACCAACGATGCTGCAGCATGCCCGCCGTTCCGAACCCCCTCCTCCTGAGCCCCTGCAGAAATGCCTCTCCGCTGCGGGACGTGCCCCCCCCTGGAAGGACGAGCGCCCCATGGTCCTGCAGTTCAAGCGAGGGCCCCATGCTGAAAACGGCGACGACATAGGACCACAACGTGTCAGGGAGGGTTCAACGAGAACACCGCTTGGAGAAGGCGCTGCCCTCCGCCCGTGCAGGCTGGTGCAAACTTTGCGCGTCCGGCTATGCATCCTGCGGGGATCTCGAGCGGGATCCCCGAACTGAAAAGGGAGCCGCCCTCCGTCTGTGCCGCTGCTGCGCTGGGGGGGGCGAGGGAGGAGGAGGAGGAGGAGGAGGAGGAGGAGGAGCAGGATGAGGAGCAGGATGAGCACGAGGAGGACGGGGAGGACGAGGAGGACGAGGAGGACGAGGAGGAGGAGGAGCAGGAGGAGGAGGAGGAGCAGGAGAGCGGTCACAAAAACATTATATATCTCGAAAGGGCCGCCC